TCAGAAGCGACAGCATTATCACCGCCTCAGAAACCATCAGAATGCAATTGTCAGTAATCTTTGTCAGATAAGAGATGCTTGGCTCAGTTGTCCGGGGTATAGTATTGAGGAGAAGCTTCAAGTGCTGAACATTAAGAAGAACGAGAAGATTCTAATGTATGAGAAGATGGAAGAACTGGAAAGTGATGGATCCGAGAGAGAGGAGTTTAGTGATACTTTGTGGGGCAAAAGAACAAAAGATCGGAATCTTGGGCAGAATATGGGCTGTTATTCTGGATATGGGAAAGGGTCAGCCTTGGATTCATCTTCTCTTAGGCAAATGGCTTCTTCGGAAGCTACCAGATACAGAAAGCAGAACCTAAGAGGGACATTCAAGGTAGGTGGAAATGGCTCAAAAGGAATGGAATTCAAATCATCTGGGCCATATGATTCTGCATTGCCTCTTTCTCGTCGTGGTAAAGGAATGGGCTATGATTCTGGGATGGCTGTCCCAATGAGAGATCAGTTGAATGGCTACGATGAGGAGGATGGGATGTACGAAGTGGATGTGCAGAGAGAGAGAAACTTTTCACGAGCAGGGGCTGTTGATAAATGTGGGAGTGTCAAATCGGGGAAGAAGCATGAAAGGGTCAGAATGGAAGAATGTGCTGATGTTTTCTTGGGCGTGCCTATGCCTTTGAAGAATGATCCTTATGCCTACGGCAAGAACAATACTGTCAACCAGCTGTCAGATATTAAGGTCTTGACTGCAAAGCCCAGCAATGCCAGAACTGCATATGATTTTGGGAAAAAGGACAGGTATGCTGATGGTCTCCCACAGTTTGGCTCTGAAGATCAGATGAATAATTATGGGAAAATCCGGATTCCCAAAATGTCACGGAAGGGAAGTGGAATGGAACTAGCAAGTGGAAGTGAACAGTTTTGGCCAAGTAAAGCACCAGAGGATACCTATTTTACCAACCCATCCCATAAGTTTGGTAACTTGAATGTAAAAAGCAAAAAGTGGAAGGTGGATCAAGAATATCCTGATCGCAAGTTCAATGATAAGTTGTTTCAGTCAGACTATAGGGCAAAGGCGGCCTTCCCTGAGAAGGTCAGGGCAAAAATGCAGAATGGCGGACAAGATGCTTCTGGAACCAGAGGTAGAAGGGTATTTGCGAATATTGAAGAAACTGAAACTGAATCATCAGAAAAAAGTGATGAGGATGAGGAATATAATCCATTGATGAGGAGCAAGTGGGCATATCCCAGTGGTTCCCCAAACTTGATGTCCGCATTGGATACTAAAAAGGCTAAATTTTCTCAAAAGGATAAGTATAGTATTCCGGCTCGTGATAGCTCATTTCATTCCTCTAGGATGGTGAATGACTCTGGTGAACTTCTCCACTCGAAGAAAACTGGAAGTCTTGGCCTGGGAGCAGAACCAATGCATGATCTTGGTCATTTGAGTAGTTTCTCCACCAGAAATTTGGCTAGAAATCATTTCTCTGGTCTAAGCCAGTTCAATAACAACAATGACGACGATGAGGACGACGAGCAACCAATCTACAAGCTAGCCAAGAATGGCCCTTTGCAAGGGGACCATACTGAAAGGTTCCACATGGTATCCACCAGAGAGAAGAAACATAAAGGAAAAGCTAGCCGTGATATCCTGCAGTCAAACTATATGCAAGATCACAAGTTTCAGGAGGATGACTCATTGCGGACACGGTTTCCGACTAAAAAAAGTGGAGTTTCTGCCAAGTTTTCAAAGAAAGGTCAGATGCTTGACACACGTGCTGGTGATCATCATGAAAAATCTAATATGCTATTAACAGGTTGCAATTCGGTCATGAAGAAGCGGAAAGTCAAAGCTGATACCCCATACATGGATGAGCTAGATGGTACTGACCATCTCTATGCTGAAATCCAGCAGCGACAAGATGATCTATCAACGAAGCGGGGTAAAAAGAAGCTGGAGGATGAATCGTGGCCTTCTTCAATGGGAGTTCCCAGATCTCCAACTTCAGAAATGATAGAAGATGTAGATGTGGAAAGCCGGCCTCCAAAAAAGCCATTCCCTTTGATTACCCCTACAGTTCATACTGGCTTCTCATTCTCCATCATTCATCTTCTCTCAGCTGTTCGTATGGCAATGATTACTTTGCTTCCAGAAGAGGCTGTAGATAGAAATGCTGGAAGACAGGATACCGTGGAGGAGCATGGTATCAAGCAAGAAGCTGTTAACGGAGTTGCACCGCCTTCAGAGTTAGATGGTGACAATTCACCTCCTTCAACTCAAGCAAATGTGCCCTCTCTCAGTGTGCAGGAAATTGTTAACCGTGTGAGATCAAACCCGGGAGACCCCTGTATTCTTGAGACTCAAGAACCTCTCCATGATTTGGTCAGAGGAGTACTCAAAATATTTTCTTCCAAAACAGCACCACTTGGAGCAAAAGGATGGAAGCAACTTGTGGTCTATGAAAAAACCACCAAAAGTTGGTCCTGGATTGGTCCAGTGAGTCCCGACTCATCTGATCATGAGCCTATGGAGGAAGTCACATCTCCAGAAGCGTGGGGTCTTCCCCACAAAATGCTTGTGAAGTTAGTTGATTCGTTTGCCAATTGGCTGAAAAATGGTCAGGAGACACTACGGCAGATAGGAAGTCTTCCTGACCCTCCGTTGTCGTTGATGCAATATAATTTAGATGAGAAGGAACGGTTCAGGGACCTGCGAGCGCAGAAGAGTCTGAGTACCATTGGCCCAAGCTCCGAAGAAGTCAGAGAGTATTTCCGTAAAGAGGAATTCCTTAGGTATTCAATTCCTGACAGGGCCTTCTCCTACACTGCTATTGATGGGAAAAAATCAATAGTTGCTCCTCTGAGAAGGTGCGGTGGCAAGCCAACTTCAAAAGCCCGTGATCACTTCATGCTTAAAAAGGATCGTCCTGCCCATGTCACAATTCTCTGTCTTGTGCGAGATGCAGCTGCTAGGTTGCCTGGCAGTACGGGGACTAGAGCAGATGTTTGTACTTTAATCAGAGACTCACAGTATATAGTGGAAGAGGTATCTGATGCTCAAGTCAATCAAGTTGTTAGTGGTGCATTGGACCGTTTGCATTATGAACGTGATCCTTGTGTACAGTTTGATAATGAGAAGAAGCTCTGGGTTTACTTACATAGAGATAGAGAAGAAGAAGATTTTGAGGATGATGGTACTTCATCTACAAAGAAATGGAAGAGGCAAAAGAAAGAAGCTCCCGAACCATCTGACCAAGTAGCAGTAACCATCGCTTATCATGGCACAGGGGAACAAAACGGTTTTGATTTGAGCTCAGATCTCAATGTTGAGCCGTCAAACATGGATGAAGATCGAACAGACCTTGCTTATGACGATGTTAAGGATCAAGTGGAGGAAAATATTAAGAGCAGCCATGTGTCAGAACAAGGTGCTACGCATTGTAGTTCTTCTCTGATGGATTGGGACACTCTTTGCTCAACTCCTGGAGAAGGAAATAATTTGTTATGTCAACAGAACTCTACTGATAATTTTGATGATGAAACATGTGGTGGAGAACCACCTGCTTGATTGTGGAAAGAGCTCTGTCACGAGCTTCCAGGTACTTTGTCCGTTCACTTTTTGTAGCTGTCACTACTTTTTACAATGGATTCAATTTCCTTTTCTACCTCCAATCCACTCTGAACTGTAAACTTGTATTTAAGGTTCATCATGTTATGCAACTTATTTAAACTTTTAATTTGGTTGATTGGTATATTTGACTGTACTTTGAACTTTTAAACTTGTTTGATTGTAGTTCGACTTGTAATTATCTGATTTGGAATTTTGCGTCACTTTTACATTTTTATGGGGGGAATTTTGTAAGTGAAGCATGCATATTGCTGAATTATAGGTAAAATATTAACCATGAGTATTTCGATGGTAATTGCAGTTTAATCTTTTTGGTCGAAGCACAAGGTTTGTCGGTTTCATTGCAATATACAAAAAGCTTTACATTGTTTTTGGGACTTGAGGCTCTAGCTTACACTAGCAACATGACCTGGTCTCGCGTCATGTTTTTAGTCTCTTGCTGTTTCTGTCTTGAGAATTTGTATTAAACAAATAGTGCTCTCTTTATTTATACGTAGGCCAGAAAGTTATACATTTGGATTTCCCTTTTATGAGTGTGATTCAGGCTTCGATTCATTTTGGTTGATTCCGCATCCCGGGGGAGGGGGTGGATTGTAGTGCTTTTTCTCCTTAACCTACTGTTGAATTGGTCTTTGCTGCAGAAAAGCCCTATATATTCCCCACCTGAAGACAGGAGATGTCGATCATCTGATGGCTCTAACAAAACATACTGTCCGTTATGCTCATTGAAATTCATCCACTTCCAACAGTTCCAGTGTTTTGGCCACGCTAAGGGTGTATTTTTGCAATGGCGGTTCAGTTGTAGATTCATTCTAGTTAAAACAGGAAAAAATGGGGAGCCTCTGATATGTAGACTGCAGGTGGTAATTGCTTGCTATTGCACAACCTTTTTATCCCATAATGCCTTGCCTTCTTCATTGTCCCTTTTTCATTTGTTCTTTTTTCCAGTATATATTTACATGGCTTATTCATATGAAACCAGAATGCAGAAGCAACAACTGTTCTGAATTGAGAAGCAACAGAGTCCATCTGTTATACATACCCCTCCTATGTACATACATCTAAGTTAGATGAGATAAATGAAAATAAGTCGGTCTTGTGATCTTTGTGCTTGCTCAAGCTTTGCTGCCTAATGCCCATGTTCCTACAACTGCATTCATACTTAGATCTTCTCTCCTACAACATTTATTCAGGTGTGATTGGGACGCTCTTCTGTTTAACAATGTTAAATGGAAGAGGGGAACAAAATTCCTATGAAACTAGTTTAAAGAAAACAAATTCGTACTATCAATATTCAGGGAAAGCCTTGAGCAATTGTAATTCGAGTAATCTTAATTTGCTCAGACGTCTCACTGAACTTAATTCCTGAAACTTATCTTCTAAGTTGATCATCTGTATTAGAGTCAAAAGGCATTTCAGTTTACATGTATCGTTTACTAATGTTTCCACACTGAGAAAAGTTACAAATAAAGTATACGAACTCTATCAACGTCGCATCGACAGACACTTCAAACCTAATTGCAATGTACAGCGCAAACATTACATATTTCCATCATTGTCTCAGGAACTCCAACTCTGTTTCCTACAAGAATTTCAAAGAAATGAAACTCTTCAAAAAATTAAATAAATAGAATCGGGATAAATTATCCGCTACGTATAGGTGAGTATATGGATATCCAAGGACATATATTATGTACAACTTTTCTCCTTAATTCCTATATTATGTTGGAAGTCTGGACTCCTCTAATTTAGAGCAGTGAGGGCAACTCTTGAATCTCGTAAAGGAGCTACCTCTGCAATATGCTTTACATCTCCGTTTGCTTGCTTTGAGGATTTTCCATCCCAAAATGAATTCAACAACTCCTCAAAAGCAGGAGTTTTTAGTTCTTCAATAGATTCAACACTTGGTAGATTAAATGGTCTCCTCGTTGGGGTCGAGCATGATGGTTCATCAACCTAGCATAATTAAAAGCAATTTGAAAGAGAGTATTTTCTTAACAAACTGAACATAAATTTTGATGCAATATCCTTACCACATATTCTTGTGAAAGACATTTTCCAGTATATTCTGTAATCTCAACAACCTTGTGGTAGTGCCCGCTATTTAGTTCTCTCAACTCTCCACAACAAGGAACAATCGTCGAATCAAGGTTTGCACAAGCATCACGGTCGAGTTGTAAAGAATCTACACATGTTAATCAAGTTAATTGAAAGACAAAAGTTGATCTTGTAACGTCTAAATCTTGATAGCTTACGGTCAATAGATGAGAGTAGGTGTTTGCTAGCAGCATCAGTGTCTTCAACGGTGGATGACACGCCAGATGAAAATCGCACACGCAATGCTTGATTTGCATCCATTCCCCCCCTGCATAAAACGTAAAGACGGTCACAGTCTAAGAAAAATATCACAACTATGAAGCTGAACACTTGAACAGTCGGCGAATGAACTGACCTAACAATTTCATCGACAAAAGCAACATTTCTCTCCTCTAGATTCAATAAAGACTGTTGAGCATTTGTCCATTGCTTTGCTCCCAATTTAGCCTTTTGCACACTGCACATTCATATTCCAGGTTAGCAGAAAGAATGATAAAAAGACTTATAGACATCAAAGAACAGTGTCAGTTCAAAGATATTATGGAATATAAGCTGGGTGACATACCAATTCTGTAGCACCTCCTCCATTTCTTTCTTCCCATTTTCCACAGCAGCAGTATCCTCAAGATGGTGCGATTCAGCCTTTTCCATGTAATTGGACCATTTGACTTTAACTGAAGAAGTTGAATCTTGCATGGTTGACATCTCTTGTTTTAGTCTGTTGGTTTTGTTAGAGGCACTTTCTCTAAGGTCATCAATTGCGGTTTGAACCTAGAACAGATAGCCATGCAAAATTCAATTAGCTATTGCAACCTAAAGTACACCAAAATCAATTAATGACTGATTCAGGATGCAGGATTTTCTGCTCAACAATGCAATAAGTCAATTATTAACTAATGAGCATTTACTACAAACAATTAAGCACATACTCAAGCATAAAACTAGATAAGAGAAAAGGAAGTCCCAAGCTGTCTACAACACCTACAAGACTTCTCATGAAGATATTGTGTCATCATCTTGCTCAAGATTAGAGTCTTAGCCACACCAAAAATTGAGATGCACATCTTTATTATTAATAGATGACCTACCAGCTTTTTCTTCCTAGCATTTGATCCAGCAAGCAGTTCTGCCACTTTCTCTAAGATTTGCCTTTCCTCATTGGCAGCACATTCCTAAAAATGAGAGATCCGCAATAAAATGAGGTTAAGAAATGTATATTGACCTTTGTTTAATAAATAGCCATATGCTGGTGGATGAAGTCGCTTACCTCAAACTTATTTTCTAGTTCAGAGAATTTCTGGTCACTGACTGTCTGTGCTTCTTCCACTATTTCACCCAACTGGGACACATGCATATCTAAAGTCTTAAAGAAGTTCCCAGTAATCTGAGAAATGGACCTTGACATTGAGATACTCCCACAGTGTGCCTGTAAAGGCATCCAAAATTTATTAGCTCTACTCAAGAAGGAAAAAGAAAGATCCAAAATAGAATCAGTGAAGATTATACGTGCTTCACAAATAGTCAACTATTGATACCTCACGTTGTTGTTGTGCAAATGCAATTAGTTTCTCCTCCTGATTGTGCAAACTTTTTTGAAGATCATTAACCAAGGTATCAGCCTCAGAAGCAATCTCCTTAAAAAGCTACATCAGGAAAAAGGAGATCAGATGAAAAAAATAAGTTCCTCTCTGAATTTCTAAAAGCAACATAAAAGATACGCACCTCTCCCAAAGCAGAAGAATGTTTTGAAACTTCACAATTTAAACGGTCAAAGGTTGACTGAGCATTGCCGTCAAGCTCCCCGGCCAAACCATCTAAAGCTTTAATACCAGAACCAAACATAGTTTTCAAGTTCTCTAGACGGCCTCGAAGTTCCTCCACTGCCTGAAAAGCAGACCAGAAAGTAGTATTGGTTAATAGGAGTACAATTTCCACCAGAAGTATGTAAACCTATTACACAATTGATGCACTAGGCTTATTAAGCATGTAAGTTTTTTGTTTTGTGTCAAAATAGCATGTTCAAATAATAATATATGCTCCCTAATTCAATTAATTTTAGTAAATACTGCAACAAATAATTTCTGAAAACTACATATTCCCACTTCCTTTTGGTATCATGTCATGCAATTTTTCTAGTGTCACGTTGAGTGTGGTACTTTAAAGGCTAATTCTACATTTGAGTCAGGAATACCTTAGTCTTTGTAGAAACAAAGGACTGCATGTCTTCCTCCATGCCTTTGAGTTGTTGCTCTTGTTCTGTGGTTGAAGAAGCAACAGTCTTATGTAGGACTTCAAGCTCTTGAGTCAATTGGGATTGGAATTTTTGGATGAGAACTCTGTTTCCATCTTCTATTTTGTCTTTCCGCTCTGAAATCAACCATTATCAGTATGCAGGAGTTTGATGCAACATTGTTTTCTTAGCAAGAAAATTCGTCATGTATTCGAGTTTTAGAACTACTGTGTACATACCAATCTTGGCAAACAAGTTCGACACGTCTGATGCAGCATTTTCCAGTTCAGCTCGAAGTTCAAATGCTTGCTCAACCAGTGCTTTTTCTGGTAGAAGACATGCAATTCCAGATATTATGCACAACTCTAAAAGTGAAATAATTTTATATAAACCCCGCACATTCACTGCCTAATGATATGGATGGCTACATCTAAATTTACTAATGTTTAAGAACAAATGTAATATACCCATATACCAATTTTACTTTTTTGAAAATGTTAAAATAATAGGAGTTATTTGTATAGATACATTGCTTCCCCAAAGAGGCAAGACAATTGACTAGCAAATGAATTCTCCTTTCGCCCTGCATAGAGGATGAAGCTTACCAGATTTTAGGAGGTTAGATATCAGAAATTCCTTTTCTTTTATAGTGGTAATTGCCTGCCTATGTTTGTCTTCGAGATCAGCCAATGTATGCTGAGTTTCCTGAAGCTTTTTCTGAAAGACACAAAAGTATAGAAAATTCAATGAGAAAGAGTCAGCAATAAAGATGTGGAATAAGTTGGGGTCAGAATTCCATTAACTTCTGTCTTCTCAAGTTTGTCACCCAATTCTGCTGTCAACAATTGCTGAGAATTGTACAGTTCCTGAAGTTCCAAAAGTTTCTGTTTGCAGAAGGCAACATGGTAATGAGTTATGATTTATCAATTTTTTTTTTACAAAAGTTATCAATTTTAATTAGAAAATGAAGGATGCTCAAGATTTTTCAGCTCTTGCCCACCTTGTCCCTGGATTCGAAGTCAAGTTCCATTCTTTCTATCTTTTCAGACATTGCCTGGGAGAGGATAATGACAAGTTAACCATAGGACTATTAAACAAGTATGTAGAGTGAATGTAACCAATCATGGGATCCAGAAAACAGTACTGAACCTTCTTCTCTGCTTCTTCTTGAAGATATCGGTCTCTAGGTATATAAATTCCATTCTTCTCTCTTGCAGCATACACCTCTGTCGGCATTAAAATAGAACAAACAAAATATGTTATCAAATAATTTATCAATGCAAGATATAGATTTATATATAGAAAGAAAGGAAGATAGAAATATAGACCTTGCTTCAGTCGGTCAATCTCAGAGTACAAATCCTTGATCATTGCAGATTTCATCATCTTCTGGTTAATCTGAAATAGCAGCAGAAGAAAAAATGAAGGATACTTGAATCAGAGAGGAAAGGTAAAGAGACATTCTTTAGGTGAGAAATGTCCAGAAAACTGACCTCTGGTTTGTTCTTTATATTTTTGGCACGATGAGCATAATCTAAAGTGCTCAGTGTCTCCTCCAGACAGTGAACTGAGGGTGATATAGTTGCAATAATGCATGTCTTTGTTTTCCCTCCCAGTGAATCCCTCAACAACCTCGTCAATTTGCTATCCCTGAGATACAAATGCAATTCTTTCTCAGAATATGTAAGAACTAAAAGCATTCTATAATAACCTAGATCTGGATTAAAGAAGACCTGTATGGGATATGACCAGAGTGCTCAACTAAAGCATTTATAACACGACCAAGTGTAAGCAAACTCTTGTTGATTTCACCAGCTTCCCTCGCTCTGCCCTGCAGCAAAGGAAATTTTAGCCTACTATCGCTTACTATAACTAAGAAGAAAAAAGGGCAGAAAATACAGAGATCTTAGAAAGCAGAATGTCTAGGGATTAGCTGTCATGAACAAAAGATAAATTTGAGACATTGCTAAAACAGTACTCTGGGCATTCTATTGTTTCTTTAAACTATGTTTACATGCGCTAAGCATACTGCCAAATGCAATGGCTTGACAGTCAGATAATTTTTTAAGTCTCAGACTCTCACCTCCCTTGCACCAGAACGTGATATATTCTCAGAACCAGCAAGATCGACAAGGTTCAATTTGCCACATTTGATCATCTCTTCTCCTTCTGGAGTGCATTCCTTGATGTGAATTGTGATAGAGAAAATAGAATGGGAACGACTGCTCTGTTTATTAAGAAGAGTCTCTGCTGTACGCCTCTTCGCTGAACCTTTCTCCAAGATCTTGTAGATTTCATTTGCAGTGGAAACAATCTCCTCTTCTAAGCCTCTAACCAAAACTCCCCCCTTACCATCTTCCATCAGCGCTATTGGTTTTTTGGATTTATCATCTACGTACTTTGTGCATTCCTCAGGAGCTAAAAGATCTGTGATCTCCTCATTATACAGCTCCAAAAATGTTACTTTCATGCTATATTCAGCATTTTGAGCTTCTAATATCGCGAAAATTTGCCGAACAGCACGGGGGATAACACCTGCGTCACTTGGAAACTCCCCATTCTAAACAGGGCAACTTTAACAATTAGTATGAAGAAATAACTAGTAGAAACAAAACATTTCTATCAACACCACCAACCTTCTTTCTTCCACCTCCCTCCATTGTATAAGTTTTCCCAGTTCCTGTCTGCCCATAAGCAAAAATGGTGCAGTTATATCCCTCTAGAACTTCAAAAACAATAGGCCATATGGCAGAATCATACAAGTCCTTCTGTTGGGATGTTGGTCCAAACACCTAAAACAGAATTATCCAACATAAAGTTAGAGTCTTTATGAAAATCATGATTAAGTAAAAACAAATTATAGAGTTTTATTTTTTAAAATTACTAAAAGTGTAATGATATTTAAGAATTACCAAAACGCGATCGTCTAAAACTTAGTAAAACAAATTAAAAAAACAATTGATTTTGCTCTACTTTATTTGAATTTTCATTTCTTTTCGTCCACATTCCCTATCGTGAATCTGTTTGAATATGATGCTAACAGATAAATGAGAAATCAGATGTGAAATATCATACCTTATCAAAAGCAAATGTTCTGTCAATCTGCTTATTAGCAATGTTCTGAATAGCAGAAACTTCTCTTCGACCCTCATTACACGAAATCACAACTGGTGTATGCAATCTTATCTCATCCTCACTCAACGGTCTGCAAATATTTCACACCTTAGCAAATTCCAATCAACTATACTGTTCAACTCAAAATCAGTACATTGACGCCTTTTTTAGTATAACCAACTCCAAAGTACACTACACTCATTTTAACTAACCTGCAGCGCAAAATAACTTGTACATTGACGCCTTTTTCTTTATCATGCTTTCCGCTCATACTATTATTCCCTTCCCCTGATCGCAGATCTCTCGCCGCCGCCTTGTCGCTCGACCGCGGCGGCGTCTGCAAAATAAAGCCGCCTCCTCTTCTCTGTTGCTGCGATTGCGATGACTCCATTCCTCTAACTATCCTTCAAATCTTCACAACCTTATTTCTCTTAGTCAACGTAACTCAGTTCAAATTCAAATCTGAGCAGAAAATAATACATAAAAACAAACAAATAAACAACAAATATATATAAAAAAATTTATACATGTACCATAAAAAGCAACAAATATATCTGGAGAAGTAAAATGTGGATTTGAATTCAATGATTAATCGACAACGACTTACCGATGCGAAAATTTCAACGAAAAATAAATTGTACAAAAAAGGATAAGTCATAAGTAGAATCGATGCATTTACAGATACGATAAAAGTAAAATGCAAGAAGTGTATGTGTGTGTATACTTACAGAAAGTGAAGTAGTTGCCGGCCGTTGAGAGCTTCGACTAATTCGGCAATGGCGAATGTTCTAGAGAGAGAAACTCAGAAGGAAATGTACAGTGAGAGAGGGAGAGAGTGTGTGTAGTGAACGGAGAGCATTTAAATTTAAACATAATAAGAGCCAAGTAGAAGAAATCCGGCCTCTATTTACTCAAGTTATCAATTTAATAGTTTAGATCTTTTTGGGGACATAAGATTAAAAAAAAAACAATTTATTAATTTAGAAAGCGCCATAAACGTTTCGTCGTCAAGCATTTCAATTAGAGAAAAATATTGATTTTCGAGACATAAGAATTAAATTAATTTCTCAGTCCCAAATTATGTGTCACTTTTCGAGATTCAAACTATATAAATTTTAATTAATATTTAATTTTTTTACCATATTGACATAGTTATAATTTATAATATTTTTCATATAATTTTAAATATTTTAATTATAATTTTAAAAAATTAAAGATTAGTCAATTGATTCACGAAAAACGAAAGCAACACTTATTTTGAGAAGTAAGAAATATTAAATATATCAGTCTATTTACTACACCTTAATCTATGACCGACAACATTTATATAGATATTTTAAAATCTTTTAACATACGTTAGCTAAAGAGTCATTATATATATTAAAAAATCTAATCAAACGGGAGAAATCTAAATTCAGCAAAAAAAATTGGAGAATTTTCTAATAAGGTGAGGAAAATTTAAGAACATTTAAAGAAAATAATTTAAATATCGAACGAGTTTGGTGTAAATAATTTAGACACGTGATTTTCCTTTTGTTTACTAATTTTTTTTTTTCTTACTCGATGTTGCTATATATATTGGGGTTACAACTAATTTGATTTTGTAATGCATAATTTTTTGCAAAGGTGCTGAAATTAGAATATTTAATATCAAATCACATTGATATAAATTTGTGTTCAAATCAATAATTGTGGTGTACTAGTACACATTAGAGAATGTCAAATTTGTACCAGTCCTTCGATGCTTTAAAATAAAAAATCTTATCTGATGACCATGTAAAATAGTTGTAATAGTTTTAAAATAATGATTATACAAATCTAAGGCAATTGAATTTTCTATATTTAAAGGGAGTCAGGTGGAGCCTCATTCCCCTGAGGAGGAGCAGTAGGGTCCAGAACATGCCAATTGTCTTATTACTATATTTCATGATTATTTTAATTAATAAGGATTATAGAGTAATCCAATAATGTTGGGATGATTTTGAATTCAAGAAATTGCTTACTATGTCTTCAAGTTTTGTTTTATATTTGAATCCCATTTTAAGTTCAAAGCAATGGGGAAAACTATCAAGATTTGATACCTAATCATCGACTGAGTTAATCTTTCTATTAGTAAAACTTGTATCCAAATTCATTTAATTTAACTGTCTTTTATAAGTAAGCTAGTTTACCTCATTTCTATTATTTTGTTTCTTTCATATAAATATTTTTACTTTTTTTAATCCATCTATACTGCTTTGATGTCACATGATGTGTTTTTCTCTAAACCATCACTTGTCTTGCAGTTTGTATCATCTCTTAGGTCCTTTTTTTCGGTGCAACACATGAAAGCGCCCTTTCATTTGTATCCCGACAGGCTGCAGCTTTCCAAATTTTATATTGAACGCATGGCGAACCTAGAACTCTTTAAATTCAAGCCAAGACTGGAAAGAATACCCATCAAATTTAAATACGAAAATACTTTCTCTAACAATTAACGAAAAAGCTCGACGAAGAAAGGGACGTATGTGGAGAAGAAAAACGCTTTAGGAAATGGAGAATTTTTTCCCATTAAAAACAAAGAAGGTCGAAGATGACCTATGATGCGTCTATCTATTAGATTTTACCATATCCATTATCAATTTGAAACCTTCACACAAATATGATTAGGAGTAAATTAAAAGAAAAGTTGAGGAATAAAGATTAGGTGAAAGTAAGAAAACAAGGAAATAAAACGGAGAAAAAAAAAGTAGACAAAAGGTGGGGTTAGTGTGTGGTGTCAAAGTTGCCCCACGTGATAAAGAGTGATGTGATTCCGCACATGCACTCCCTGCTCTCTTCTCCTAAATCTCCTTTAATTATTTGAAGAAAACAAAAAACTTGTAACAGAAAAATCAGAGTGGATGTGAACTAATTAACTTATCTCTTTGAAATAAGGGTAAAGGTAAGAGAGGAACAATGGAATTATTTAAAAATTAGTGATACTAGTAACCAATTTAGATCACATATGTCTTGACTAAAAATAGTTTATGATATTGTAAATAAGCTATTTATTATGAGAGCTAAAACTGAAGGACAGACTTGCTCTTAATCCCTTAATATTTTATATGTGCTCAGTTATGGAAACCTGTTCAATTTCAACATACCATAAATTGTTTAATTAATGTTTTCGTTCAAAGAAGTCGGAAAAAAAAGAAGCAAAACGACTAGGAGAACTGAGTTTATATTATTCCCCTTTTATTGCTAGTAAGGTTAAAATTGAAAACAAAATTCATTTGCTTTCTCCTTTTTTGGCTGTTAATTTTGTTGATGTACGATTAACATGAAACCTTTGTAAAAAGTTCCGATAATTTACACACGACCATTTTCACACAATTATGCTCTAAAAAAAAAGGAAAAATGTAACAAATGTTATGTGGTTGTAGACAGAGACAGAGCAAGAATTTTGACTATATCAATACTGAAATTTAGGACAGGATAAATTACTGGGTTCGGAATAAATTATTACACATATTAAGTAAATTTTTAACACAAAATACAATCTAAGCCATAGTTACTTGCAGGGCCGGCCCTTCCATAAAACAAGTAAATCAACTGCTTTAGGCCCCCACATTTGTGGGGCTCTATTTTTTGTTACACCTAATATGCTATGTATGAGTTTTAAAAAAAGGTCATGTGAAGTAAAAAAGTTTGATTTTTTCCTTTAACAAGTATAGAAAAGAAGGATTTGCAATTGCTATGATTTCTGCCAAGAAAATTACACTTGAAATGAATATCGCTGAATTTCGTAAGAAACGCGTGATATATAAGAAATAACAATTTGATGAGAATGTTGATAATAAAAACTCAAAATCTTTCGAATAGTCCTTTGGAGTTGATTGCTTTATTCATAGCAGACAAAGCTATTTTTTTCATTTCCAAATAGATTTGAACAATTTGAAGCATATGAAAATATTTTTGATTTTCTATTTAGCGGTAAAAATTAAGATCACTAGATGATAGAAATTTGAAAAAATATTGCCTTAATCTTGAATGTTCCTTAAAGCATAATAATCAATTCAATATTGATAGTTTAGATTTATTAAAAGTATTTAAAAAAATAGTACAATTAGAAAATAACAGTTTGATTGAAACACTCTGTCAAATAAAAAGATTTGATTCTTTTTCCAATGCCTATATTGCTTATAGAATAATGTTAATAATTCTTGTTACCGTCGTTTCAGCGGAAAGAAGTTTTCAAAATTAAAATTAATAAAATCTTACTTAAGATCAACAATATTTCAAAAAATGTTAAATAGATTAGTTATATTATCAATTAAGAAATACTTATTGGGAAGTACAGATTATAAGAAAATTATTAATAACTTTGTATCTAAGAAACGCTAGAAAAATAGATTTCAAATAAATAAATAATTTTTTTTTTAAAAAAAAGTTAAGGCCCCTCATAAAATTTCGCTTTAGGTCACAAAACTCGTCGGGCCGCCCGTGATTACTTGGTTCTGTCAAACCGGTAGCTGGACTTGTAGCTCCGCCAGCCACTGGACTTATACAGCTACTCGATGAGTTACATTATTATAAGTTAAAGCCATTTATCGGTCAAAGAATATGACAGTTACACAGCACAAAGCAGTCTTCCTATAATTGTTCCTCACATCATACAAACATGTATTGAAACTGAAGCTCCATTGGATTTTTATCACTTCAAGGCACAAGCTGATACTACTGTTACTTAAGGAATACTCAATCCCTATGCAGCGTACGCTTTACTTTTCCCTCTTTGTTTCCATAAAAAGGCCCCTGCAACAGTCACTCTTAAATTTGGTAAAGAGTTTATTCTTCCTGCTAATGTATGATGAGGTTTTATACTTATATAATAACTACAGCGTAAATGAAATTTTTATATTATTAGATCATTTAAAAGATAATAATTACAGTATAGATATTATTGGATCACTTAAAAGATAAAAATTATTAATAACTACTCGGACAAAGCGGGTTGCTCTGATGGTAAGTACCCTCCACTTCCAACCAAGAGGTTGTGAGTTCGAGTCACCCCAAGAGCAAGGTGGGGAGTTCTTGGAGGGAAGGATGCCGAGGGTCATTTGAAAACAATCTCTCTATCCCAGGGTAGGGGTAAGGTCTGCGTACACACTACTGAAAAACAAGATTATTAGTAAAATTGTGTTCATAAACAGAAAATCAGAAAATTGAAGGTTAGAAAAACAAAAACAGAAAAATAATTATTTCGAGTCACACAAGTTTATTGTGTGTCCTTAAGAAATTTAATCATTTCACTGCTGCCCAAGTTATACAAATTAATTCCTCCAAAAACAAAAAATTACTGTAAAAGCGACACTTTAATTTACATAACTTCAACAAACTCAAATGGCAGACTAAATTATACATGATATTTATGTTCGTTTTGAAAATATAATGCAAAGAACGGAGAAATTTTAGAATTTTTAGTGTGTAAAAAATGAGGCAAGACCTCTCTATTTATATCCAACGAATGAGTGGATCGGAGCAAAAATTTCTTTCCTAGTGGTGTCTTTTCGGGTATACAACTTTTTATTTCTCATTCAGACCTGCAAAGCCCAATATTACCTACAATAACACGTTTAATAATACAGTAAGCAATAATAATATAAATTTTTTTTACATAAGTTAAATTCATATATAATATATCTACCATCCCAACACTTTGGGAGTACCTGGGACTCACAAATAAATGTTGAGCGCGAAGACTCATTTTGGAGTGCACCACCTTTATTTGCTTTCTTAATATTCCGTAAAGACTATTTAGGGACTGAATCGTTCAGATCAGTCTGTAATGACCCGACCGGCCATCTCGACCATTTGCATTCCGTTGAACTATTTGAAATCTTGAGTAACTTCAT